CTTTTTAATGTGATCCAGAAAGCTACACAATTTCTGGAAAGCCCGTCTTTTCAATCTAAAGTTTTGCTTGAAGAAATCATTTCCGCAGCATTGACACTCGACTTCCCAAAACGTGCTAGCTCGATTCTGGAAAATTAAGTACATATATACGTAAATATACATAAAACATATACTTTATTGTTTTGATACCTCTTACCTCGCACAGGTTCTTTCGTTAGTAGGAAGTTCCAAGTGGATGTACTCCCAAATGACAACTTGCACGTTTTTGTACAAGAACAGACAGAACATTAACTAAATGCGGCACCGTGAACACTCTTCGAAAAACCAATGTTCGAAATTGCTTAATGTGCTTTTAAATGTCAGCATGAACGCTGCATTAGGCAAATATGGTGCCGCACACAAGGATGCCAAATTTAGTCAGAAATAAGAAAGTTGCAGAGTTGCTTTTTTGAAAATTAATACTACGTTCAAATTGACGAGCTAAACATGTTAAATGGGCTTGAACCAGTTAAATGAACAAAACATGTTCATAAACAAGTTAAATCGCATGCAATTCTTGTTGGAAAATTGAACCAGTTAAATCATTTAACTCGTTTGAAAACCAGTTCAGCGTACAGTTGTATCAGAAAGCTTTCTGCTCCGGCCAATCAGAAAGACCCAAAAGCTTTCATTTGACACGCCAATGTTCAAAAAATTTATATTCTGAAAAATATTAAAAATTATCAAAAAATATTAAAATTCTATGCATGTCTGCCCGCCAAAAAAGAGGCAAAGGCGGTAATTAGTTATTGCCCATGAGGTCTCACCGTACGCAGAGATAAATAGTGCATACGAACTTGTTGGAAATCTGGCAACCACAGTTTGTCTCTTATTTGTACTTTCCCCTTTGCAACAACATTGTTTTTCAGTTTTTGCAACGGTTCATTTTCTGCGCAGTTGAAATCGAGTCGCAATTTATGTTGTAATCATTTTTGATTTTCATTCTGAAATAAACCACTGAAGTGTAAAGACGTAACACTGGTCTTTTATTTTATTCCGGCTTCCATCGCAAAGTTAACTCGCAACAGGTTATGGGCGCAGAGCCTATGTCGGTATAAAATAAAAAGCGTTCTTGAGAAGATTAGCGTGTGTCGCATAAAGTGTACGTTTTGTAAAAATGGGTTCGCTATACCAAATAGAGAAGTTGGACGATGCCAACTAT